TGTCTGAAATCATGTGTGTGCTACTATATTCGCTTCATTCGCTAGACAGCCAAGGACACATTCACAGAAATACCATTATATGAAGAAGTGATTCAAGCTTATGTTACTTACATCTCGATAGAAACGTCTTGTACATCTTTCAGTGGTTAATGCACCCATTATTATTCTATATCTATTTAATATAAAGTTGCTTTTTTTAAACCTTCATTAAGACAACTAATAAAAAAAGAAGCATAGCTTCATTATTTGAAAGGAAAATTTCTTCATATTTTTGCGTTATTCTTTCTGACACCAGTTGTTACGTTTCTTTCCTTTACTACACGTTCATAAGTACGGGGTTCGTGTGGATTTGAAGTGAATAATTACGACGATGAAGTATCGAAACACACTTTATTTAACCAATATTAATTAGGACAGCTCCAAAGTCAACTTTTACAGTCGTCGAAGATCTACTGTATACTCGCTGGAACAATCAGGGACACAGCCTTCACACTGCCAGGCAATAACGGTGGAGACAGCTTCACTGCAAAGCACCAGAGTACAGCTTCCAGACTCGATTCGGTCGTTCTCGGAACTCCACGTACTCTCGAGACTCTCCGCTCTACAACTCGCGATGCACTCAACGGCACACAGAGCACAGCACCCGACTCTTCGGTTCAGTCGTTTCCGAGCTTAACACACTCTCTCGACGATGCATTAACCGCGATACACTAAGAGACTCTTCGATGTACTCGACGACCCACTCGGCACTCGCTGCCCGGCTGTGAACACGATTGACTCGCTAGACGAGACACCAACTCAATACTAACTAACTCGCCCTCTAGACGAGGCACTCCCTCTGAGACACTAATTGATTGACACTAACTGAGATGAGGCACACATACTAACTGACTGCAGACCAGCAGGGTTTATATAGCTTTCAGCTTGTGTTCGAGAACATTCTGGGTTCGAGAACATCGTCGTCCATGACAAATCGCCAATCGTGTTGCCAAATGTCGCCAAACGGGCGATTTCTCTCCAAATGTGGCAACCCCCCCCGCCTTCCCTTGTCATTTTATGGCAACCCTAAAACTGCTTTGCAGGGAAGCCATCTTACCGCGCCTGTACATTTCGTAACAATATAATAGGTAAACACGTAAATTAAGTTCTATCCGCGGGAAGACTTCGTCAAAAAGAGTATGACAGAGTATACGCCAAACAAAAGATAAGTCAAAATTATTCTATTTCAATTTATTTTAAAATCTAGTACGAAAGTGGTTGAAAATATTTATTTCAGTTTTGCCTCTGGAAGAGGACAATTTCGTATTTAGCAAGAAGCTTATAATTTTGTATTTAGTAAGAGGTTTACAATTTTGTATTTAGCAAGAAGCTTACAATATTGTGTTTGGCAAAAATCTAAAAAGCAAGAAGCAAGGAAGATTAGCAAAGAATCTTCGCAGATTTAGAACGAAATCTTAACTTCGGTCGTAGAGACTGTGGTAGGAAAATGTTTTTTTTTATGATATTAAGAAAACGAACTTCATTAAAGCGTTAGAAACTCGTGCATGTAATTAATCTATGCTTATTTTTAACTGAGTAAAGTAAGAAATTAATTAAGTAAAAATGTTTGAATTCTTAAATACTTAAAAGTATTTTATATGCTTGAAATTGTGCTTCGAATGAAAGAGTAGTCTATGTTACTTATCAAAAGTACTAAAAGAAAGTTAAGATAAATTGAAAATGAATGCAAAGTAAAATTTTAGGTTCTCCAGCCAACACTAAGTTAATTTTCACTAGCGTTACCACCTCAGGCTGAGATTTGATTGCAGTGTGTCTGTCTAGGTCTAGTTGGTTTAATTCTAACAAGTAAATGTGGGGGTAGTCGGTAAGTGTTGTACTCGTTTTACATAAAGTACGCTCGCATTTTACGGTAATGATGCTGGAGAGCATGGGGGAGTCTTAATGTGGATAGAAAGATTGAATTGAGTAAATGTAGAAAAGGTTGAACTGTTAAAAAAAAAACATGGCTAGTGTAAGATATGTGTAAGCACGTACTAAACTTCCAGGATGCCTGGAAGGAGACAGAGCAAGAATTGCTAAAGAAGGAAGATATTGTAAATATCTGCCACATTGTCCATCTGTAAAGCCTTAAATTTAGATAAGATGTTGATTAAGATTGTAAAGGTGAACTCGTATGTAGATTTATAATTTAGCTATCTTATCCAGGCTTTCAAAGCCTTGTTTTGCGATAGGGTTTTCCTTATTTTGCATAACAAGTTTATTTTAAGTTTGATTACCTGTTTTAAACTTCTCAACTTCCCCTCACATTCTCTCGCCAGGATGTAAATTTAAGTGAAGTGCTATTTAAACGTGTGAATATCTCAGTATATTCAGAGCATGTTTCGCTAGCAAAACGCACGTTTCGTTGTTATTTCGCGGTCTCGCTAGTAGGCTTCTTGGCCTCATCAGATTAGTAACACGCCGGTTAGACTCCTGTAAGTTCACCTCTTAGGCGTAAACTTAAGTGCGCTCTTGCTCCATTTATTTCAGGTTTGACTTGTATTATATTCTACATTTTAGTTTTCACCACAAGTGGTCGGTGTTTTTGTAACGCACGAAGTCCGTGCCTTTCTGTTAATTAGTTTGAATTAATAAAGGGTCATTTTCACGCTTCTTCTGTGCTGATATTTAATTCACGCTTGTTCGAGAATTCGCCAGGTTCATTTTATGATCTAATTTAGTTTATGTGGAATAAAAGAGACAGATCTTACAAGTGGCGCTCGAACTTTTCCGAAGTTATGGCTAACAACGAAGGTGCAGCTGAGTTAGCTCCATCAACATCGCAAACTCCACTGGCTCTTGGCAATATGATAGAAGGCTTTGGTTATCTCGTGGACACTACGAGTGCCTCCATGAAACCCTCAGTGACATTTGACGGAAGAACATCAGTCACTAGCTTCCTAGAAAATTTAGATAATCACTTTTTACTTTATCCCGTTCCTGATGTACAAAAGATCACGATAGTAACGACCGCCTTACGAGGACAGGCATTAAACTGGTTCAAAGGAGTTGGAAAATTTCGATTGGGAGAAATTGGGAGCCCCGTTTATACGTTCGACAATTTTAAAGCCGCCTTGGTAAAAGTGACCCCGTAGGGAAGTACCCCGTGGTAAAAGTGGACCCCTTTTCCCGTGGTGAAGGACAGAGCTAGGCTTGAAGCCGAATTGTACGGCAAGTACTAACATAAAATTGAAGAGTTGTCTAACTTTATCCTACGCAAGGTCCAAGTCGGCTAATTTATTATATGATAAAAAGCCCGACGAAGAATTAATCATAATTATCTTGCCTCGACTATTGCCGGAAGTTCAGGATTATATTGAAGTAAGAAACTCCAGCACTCTAGAACAATTGTTCAATTCGAGAGTAGAAGTTAAGGAGGGAGTCCGTGCCTTTCTGCTAAATTAGTTTAAACTAATAAAGGGTTATTTTGACTCTTCTTCTGTGTTGGTAATTAATTCACGCCTGTGCGAAAATTCGCCAGGTTCATTGTAGGATCTAATTTAATTTATGTGGAATGACAGAGACAGATCTTACAAGTTAAATACTTTGTTTCCTAAAAATATCATGCAAAACTTTTCAATATCATAGAAACAATAAAGAATAAATAACATGAAAGAAACGCCAAGCACAAAACATTCTGGAAAGGAAAGTATAATTAATAATATTTTATCTCATATTTTCAAGAGAAAATAGTTAGCAGTCCGGTATACAAAGTATATCGAGAAAGTCTGTGTGTTTGTTCGCTAATAACTCAGTCACTACTATAGCTATCGCACCAAACTTTCTACAATTCTTTTCTGGGTCTTGGAAAAGGTCGATGTTCACTTTTTTTCCAAAAAGCGTAGCTAAAAACCAGAAATATTAATTAAAAACTCTTAAAACGTTAATTTTCGCCCTCATTTTTCCGAGCGGCGGCAGTGCTGATATCAGCAACTATGGCTTGTTGCTGGTATGCCTACTATGTTTGGTGCGATTTCATCAAAAGACATAAAATAAAAACAAATCTCATTCGAATTTTGAAACAATCGCTTCGAGGGGCACTAGCTCTTGTCTAGATGCACTCCTATGTACCAAATTTCGCAAACCTGGGTCTATTATCTTACGCGCAGCACGAACGAAAGACACACACAGACTCTTCCTTTTATTATATGGAGAGATTTTGTGAAAATTAAAAAAAATTTTGAACATCAAATTCAGCGATTTCAAAACGAGCAATGGCAACACTGTACGAAAAAAACCGCATTTTTACAGCCAGCGCGAGAGGCTGTGTATCGGAAATTCTAAAGATATGCTCTTTTTGAATATTTTGTGTATTGCTGGTGAATTGAATTTTATGGTTTAAATGCGAAGAACATGATATTTAATAAATAAAAAGGTAACACACAAAACGGTAAAAAAGTCCTTGAAAGCTTTCAGAAATAAAATAAAATCTGAAAACTTTCAGATTTTATTTTATTTATTTTTTTGTCTACCCCAAAAAGATAATTTAGCTTTGTTTTCCACAGTAATTAGCTCCACAAAAAATCATTCGGAAATTTTATGAAAATGAATAATATTTTAGGAAAGATGCATTTCTTGTCCAATTACTTAATACATAATGTTTATACATATGACTTTAAAATAAAAATTTGATTTAAGTTTGGGTTTTCAGACTAAATTTCTTCGTGCATTCATGACATAGTAGAGAGTGTAGTTTGGTAATACGTATTTTGATTATTTATTAGAGTAGTACAAAAGTACGGAAAAGAAGTTTAAACTTAATCTAAATAGCAAGTGTCACTCTTACTACATCCCCCTCCCCTATTTTGTATAATTATCGGAAGAAAAGTTCTGAGAATATGATAAATGTGTAATAATTTTTTTATATCTATTGTTTGCATCTCTTTGTTTCTTTTTATGCTTGAATTTTTAGAAATCAATAATTTCCACTAGCTATTGACAGAATTTTTTTCTTTGAACAGGAAAGGAACTTCCATCGTTTAACGATGACGTCCTTCTGGCTTTTCTGAGAGGTGCAAAATTCGATATGAAGAAATGCGAGGACCGCTACAAAAGATATATTTCTATGCGCTATAAAATAGCGGATTTGGTGCATAGACTGGACGAAGACAAGATTCGGAGTATTCTCGATTCAGCAGTGCTTAACTTGTTGCCTTATAGGGATAGCGAAGGAAGAGTCATCATATGCTCAGTTGCCAGTGAGTCAGTTTATGATGAATTTTGCTTTTACTTTACGTCAACATATAATACATGCGTAAATGAGGTAATCGGTCCAAAAATTCAATGGTCAATTTTCCCTGAATAAGCACAAATTTAGGTTCACACAAGAGGTTTTTAATATTTTTACAATGATCTGTGTCTGTCTTTGATCTACATGGGCGTAATGAATATTTTCCTCCTAACGACTCTTATGTCAAACATCAAACTTCCAAGAAGTTTTGGTTTTTGTATTTAAGCTTTCTGCATTATATAAATCGTTTATTAGATTTTGAATAAAACTGGACAAACGGAAGTGGTACTTTAACTTGAAGGTCATAACAGATTTTTATGGATAACCAGAAATGTTATTTTACTTCACGTGGATAACAGGTTTTAAGGAAAAATTATATTAAAATCTAATTCGAAATATCTCAGTTTTAGTATTTAAGACCTTTTACACCAATGAGAACAACATATTATATTTTGGCTAAAATTGATAAGTCGGAAGTGATACATTACATGAATTCGAACAGAGTTTCGCGAAGAAATGTATTATGATTTGCAATCAAAACCTTCTCAGTTTGTTATCTAAAACTCGTATAAGAATATTCAATGCATATAGAAAAATATTTTCAAAGTTCTAGAAAATTAAGGATATTTTTTCTTTTATTTCATCAATTCTAATCAATATACGATAAAAATTTTCAACATAATCCCCATTTTATTGAATATATTTTATTGCAACGAAAACCTAAATCTTTATGCCATCCTGAAACAACATTTTCCATGTCTCCTTTGTCTGCTTATTTATAGCAGAGTTAAATTCTCAAATTTCCCGCCATCCTGAAGGATTTTTAAAATGTGGGAATGGAAATGTTAGACTAGAATACTCCTTGCAGAATACTCCTGAGCAATTTCTGAAGTTCTGGCATCATCTTTCCACAAAAGAAACTGATTGCTCTTTGTATCTTCCATGGTTGAAGAAATAGTGATAAAAATATGCACTGAATCAGCCAAATAACTAAATCTAACTAAACAATATTGCATGTGATAGTACATTAACATGTCATGACATGTCTCTGGCCAATATCGTTACATATGAGTTCTAGGAATTGAATTAGAGCTTAATTATCTTTAGAAGCACCCTACGTACAAACATGATTGAGAACAATAAATTAGATTATGAATATATATGATAAACTGGAAGTTGTTCTGTAATTAGAGTTCTTAACAGGTTTTTGTGGAAAAAAATAAAATCATATTGCAGAGTCATTAGGTTATTTTAAAGCAAGAAATGTGAAAAATGTGCAATGCCCTCGCCGAGATTCGAACCTGGACCTCTTGAATATACGGCAAGTGTGCTACCGTTACACCATGGAGGCTTGCTGAATGGAGGTAGAAAATGCCTTATAACTTTACTAACAGTTTAACCTAAAATAGTATAGCGCATACGAAGGCTATTTCTATTACATCTTCACATGATTATTTATTCATATCACGTTGTAGAAGAGAATGATTTTTATGAGAGCATTTCATTTTCAGAACTTTATAACTCTTGTAATACAGATATATTATCAAAAAAGGCACTTGTGTTCTTTTGAACTTTCTTTCTTTCCACCGACAGGGAGGTAACCGATCCACTGGGACAGTTAACATATTGGCCAGATAGCCCCGCTGCCGGAATTAGCTTGGCCCAAATAACACACTTTGGTGTATATTGTGATGAAAATGAGTGCTCCGGGACGGTGCAAACAAATGCTGGGTGAGTTAATTGTGCAGTAATGGAAGAAGGGGGCATTGCAGGTGAGGAGAACAATTTCAGTTACACATATACAGAGTTACAGATAGATGGTTATGATAGGCATCCACAACGTGAACAATAAATGAGTACTGAGCAATATATGAGCAATTAACAGAGTGGCTGATGAAACATAAAAAAATACATGAAATAAGGCAAAATACTAAAAATACTAAAAAGCAAAATAAAATAAGACATAAATAAAATAAGACAAAACAGTAAAAATAATACATAATTTACGGCAAAATAGATAATTCAAGTTTCACAATTCAAAAAAGGTTCACAGTTCAAGGAAGTAAGTAGAAACAGAAAAGAACAGAAAAAGCTAACTTAAATAAAATAAATTAACTACAAGTACAGAACATACGGGGGGCTGTGCTGGTGAGAATTACTCCAACCCGGCTGAGATTTTACCTGTACTATTAACGAAATTGCATATGTGTTTCAACTGAAATTGTTCTTTTTGTATGGCCCTGACGAGTGGATTTTTACTACATGTGCCTTGGATTGCCTCTATTCAGTTGTTATTTAAAAAAAAACTAATGAGCAATTGTTTACTGATACTTAAATATCCCGGATGCAGATCAAAATAAATTTAGGTTTCTTGATACTATAGCAATTGGTATTAAGATTTTTCTAAACATAATGCATTAAATAAATGTTTTTCTCATATTTTTCAGAAGCATATGATGAAACCGTGGCCACCGTTGATGAACTCTCTGTTTGTCTCTTATGCTTTCTTGAGTTTGCCATGAAGTTTCCGGCTACTACAGTGAGTGGTTTCAACTACATAACGTGCGCTAGAATTCAGCAATTCCGATATTTGTACGACTTCTTCAGAGGTTACAGGCTGTATTTACCATTTTTGGTGAGCATCCATATTAAATATCCATTTTCTTTAGAGTACAAAGCAAATCTACAATTGTTATCAAAATGCATCAGAGTCTTTTATAAATAATGAAGTTAACAATACAGCTTGCATGTATTTTCCGCAACTTAAATATATTTATTTAAGATCTTTATTTAATAAAAGGCAAATTCTATATATAGCAAGGAAAAATATTCAAACTGGCATTGAATATGTCTGTAAAATTCACAGTATCAGCATAGTATAGCATGTAGCAGGTGCCCATTCCAAGCTCTGGGTTATATCCGCAAGTTGCTTGAGATCTTTTGCGAGCGTACGGGTTTAACCAAGTCGAGCGGCACTTTCCTCGTGACACAGTAATTCCCCTCCGGTTTAGATAGACACTTGCTCCAGTGCACTACTTAATCATTTAATTTTTAGGGCAAAACAGCACCGACAGTCTCGTTGCTCGCCTTCATGTCGAGAATAAATGGTTTGTCGAGCTGTAGATACGTCAAGTTTGTGGCGGATGTTAAAGCCTTCTTTAGTCTACTAAATGCATCCCTACATTCTTTTATCCACAATTACTTTTGTTTGCTCTTTGTTAAATTGTGAAAGGCTCTTGTGATGAAAGAAAAGTCCCTCACAAATATTTTAGTAGGTTCAATGCCCCGGGAAAACTCTCAGTTGATGGACATTTTTGGAGTGTCTCCAATCTTTAATTCTCGACACTTTTTCTACATCCGTACACACCCCTCCGGTTGAGTGAACGTGTGTCTGAGGTACGTCACTTCCTGTATGAACAATTTATATTTGGTAGGATTTAACTTCATTCAGATTGGCTTCAAATTCTGAATATTTTTCAAATGTTCTTCAAAAACTTTCCCGACGAAAATTACGTCATCCAGGTATATCAGACTGAGTTCTTAGGAAAGAACTCTCAGCACGGTGTCCATAAAGTGTTCGAATGTTGCCAGCGCATTATATAATACAAACGGCATCACTTTATAGAATACACGTTTAAGTTTCTAGTCAGTTATTTTATGTTGGTAGTTTACTTTCTTAACACTCTCATATTCATGCTCCAGCCAGAATGTAAATTTCTAGCTTGCGTGATATTCAAGTGAGGTAGAAATAAGTGGCAATTTAAAGGAAGGTTTTAGAGGTTGAATCAGAGCCTGTTTTGCCTGTTTGAAGGCCATGTTGCTAGTTTGATGTTCTTGCGAATAGTGTTGTACGATGTTAAGTTATTCTCCCAATTAGGCTTGTTACGCCAATCTTAGGTCAGAGCCAGGTTGGGCGTTCTTCTAAATGTGCAGTCGTTAGGCTAGCTTACGTTTTTAAATTTCATTCAATCTCTTATCTTTGATTTAAGCCATAACTATTGGCTTCTGTAAGGACGAGTTTGTGCCGTCTGTTAAACTTTTATTTGATTCAAATAAAAGGGTCCTTTACACACTTTCCCAGTCTCTGTGGTACTCACAAGTCATAATGAAAAGTCACTATGTCTTTTAGCGGTTTAGTCTAGTTCACGCTACCTTAAACTGTCAAAGTCCTTGCCCAGTAGTAAATGCTGCCTTTTCTCGGTCATCAGAATGTATCGTTTTAAATCAAGCGCCGAAAGCCAATCTTTCAGAAAGTAAGTCCAGAATGTTATCAGTTTTAGGAAGAGAGCAGCTATCTTTCATCTTGACCTCGTTCAACTGGCGATAGTCAACGCAGAATTTACTCGAAGATCCTTCTTATGGCCTAGGATAATAGGAAAGAATTAAGGAATTGTAGAAGCCTCCATAATATCGCTTTGTTGCATTTCTTTAGAACATCTTCGTCCTCCTCCTGTTTAGCAATTAGTAGACGTCTTGGATGTTACTTGACCTGTGGATGATCTGTCGTATCAGTCCTATGCTGTGCCAAACTGGTTTGACTTACCTCAAAAGATGTGCGGGAGAAAACATCTTGAAATTCTTGAATGATCGCCAGCAATAACTCCAATAATAATAACTTTACAATAACTCCGATATTATGATCTCCGAAGACACAGAGACTGGAGGACTATTGGGTGGTTTAATGTAGGTTACCGAAGTATATGGTGCAAATGCTTCGCCTTTCCTAATGACTTTTACCTTATCACTTACGTTGGCATCTTTCACCGGGACGACGGTCCTCAATAAGCCGACGATTGCCAAGACCACTAGTGCTCCATTTTCGGGCAATCTCAATATATTCCATTATACAGCCCTGGAAATTTATATTTACAGCTATAGACCTTAGTAGTAAAATTTCTGTTTTTGCTCGTATTGTGATATCGTCTTCAGGTATGATTTTATGCAAAGATTTGAATCCTTTATTTTTAATTTCGAAGAGAGTTATATCCTTAGAGGCAGAACACAGTTCGTTATTTTTAACGTGCAGGAAAAACATTTGTATTTTCATAGAAAGTTAATCCGAGAATGCAGGGGTCTGTAATATTTCTTACATATGCCATGTGATGGCAGACGGCACTTCCAAATGCTTAATATTCCATCGATGCCGATTTCATCCTCGGAGACAGTCTGGAAGGTAACGCAGGGTGGATTCCAGATGAATTTATCTTCCAATTGTTGAGCCAAATCTTTTTCGATAATGGTAATATTGGCTTCAGCATCGGCGATAGTATTACAAGGAATTCCATTTATATATCCCACGATGAAGAATGCATTACTGCCGTCTTTTAGTGCAGAAAGATTAAGCGCTTTAAAATGGGGCTTCACTATATTTGTCAACCTATGCGTCACGAGATGTACATTAATTAGTTTCCGTATTTGATGAATGGGGTCTTAGCTTCCGTGATTTAGAGTGTTCTGCAATTCATTCGTACGTGGTCTTTACCTTTGTAGTTCCAGCACTTTAAGTTCGGTTTTTTGTCACTCCTACTTCGCCTCATGGCGTTGACTTGCCTGGTTAAATTGTTTAGATGAGCAGTCAGTTTATCCACTGGCTCCTAGACGTGAGTAGCTCTGGTTAGGTGGAAGTCTCTACGAGTTGCTTGATAGGCAGCTTCGAATTTCCTGGAGTACACTAAAGCGCTTTTTAAACCCTTGTCATCCACCATTCGCAAGGCTTTGTGAATGTCAGGAACTCGGATGCCATCCATGGAGTACTCCCGGGACTGGATTACTCTTGTTTCTGAAGGACAGTCCGAAAAGTTCCTGTTATTTTACCGTGGACTTCTGTTGGAGATGTTCTCAAGCCTGCTATAGCATTTTAAACACTTCTCGTCAAAGCGCAGCTGCAATGTGTCGGGTAGTGCTTCAAAGTGTAGCCTCTGGTTTTGGGCAGAATTTAGAAGATATCCGCTGCATTCGCTTTTAGAGAAGCGGCGAGGTGGCTGATCTTAGCTTGGGAATCCCACCACAATTGCGTCCGCCGTTATATAAAACTGAGTCTCCTACATTTGCCAAGAATTCTTATCATCATATATGGATAGCTTTAAGGAGAGATCAGAAGATATGCTCAGGAATTAAAAAGCGTCAGTTTTGTTTCCTGCTTTTAATTATGGATGTTTTAAGCTGTCAACTTCCTTTGCGACTGCAACAAAAACTCTCTAATCTATTTGTTTTTCAAATGCAAAAACTCTTTACTTCTTTCTTCGATATGTTGTTTCACAGCAGAAACTCTTTCTCCTATTTTTGTTCTACAGTCAAAATTCTCTTCGATATGTTTTTCGGCAGCATGAAATTATTCTACAGTTTATCCAAATTTGTTTTGAACTGTGTCTTTTTTGCCTTCTATAGCTTTAAATTCGTTTTATATTATGGCAGTAATTTCTCTTTTCATTTTTCACTGACCTGCTTTAACCTTTTCTTGAATTCACTTCACTACCACTTCCATCTTTTCTCGGCCCAGTTTCATCTCTTCTTGTCCTGCTGTCGAATTTCTTTAACGGACCGTTACTTCGCTTTCAGCTCGTCTTTAACGGAGCCTGTGGCCCCTTCCTTCTTCTCTTATAATGCAGCAAAGGTTGTTACCAGTTGTCTTAGTTGCTCTTCAATCGCTCTTGTCATCGGCATTCAGCCCCATTTCTGAGAAAAAAATGTTGAATGCGTACGAGTTCGTAATGAATTGAATGCACACAGAACTGATGATAGCTTGATAACATCTATTTTCCCAAAGGCCACTTTACATTTCTAAAGTATTTTTACAGCTGTTCCCAGTATTACAGAGCACAATTAGTAGTTACACTTCAAACTACTAAGAACGTTAAACACAACGGAATGCAAAGCGCATCTAAAAGGCTAAACTCACATGGAAGGTTCTCAGTACTCCGAAGTCAGCCGTGATCTAAAAACTGAGAAGTAATACTCTCTCCGGAATCATAGAATTTACCCCTAGCCGCCGAAAAATTTCTAGCACTTTCCTTTTCTCGAAATAATTGGAAGTGATATAAGGTAAAGTTTCATATAAGGGCCGGATACAGCTACTGATGCATATAGGAATCAATTAGAGTAGCAATTACAGTTGTTCAGGGATCGGACCCAAATGCCGCCATATATATTTACAAGTTTGGCGAATTTGGCGGATAACAAAATCTAGTCGCCATAACCATCGCCATGTTGCCGGCATCTCGCCAGTTTAATGATAGAGCCATTCACCTTAATGTTAAATAGACTTGCCCCTGTAACCTTATTTTTCCGGCAGAAGTCTGCTTTGTCAAAAATTTCATATTATATTTTACAAAAGTGCTAAAATTTCACTAAAATTGCATGCATACGAAATTCTTAACAATTTTTTTAGTATTTTGCCCAACATACTTTCGGTGATCATTGAAGTAACATATCTTGTCCAACTGTCCAGTTTCTAGTATCATGTATCACTAAGTTTAATACCCGCTAGCTTGAAATTCAGGCTTTAAGACAAGGACAAGTGAGGTATGTGTCTCTCGAACCAGATTTTCAGAGTATTAACCACAAATCACTCATTATTTTTTAAGAAATAACAGATGGATTTTTTAGGATTGCATTGAAAGATTTTCCTCGTATAACTTTGCGTAGCTAATTAGTTCTAAAGAATTAGCCTTTAGTAATTTTATTATACAATAATAATCTTCCATATAGACAAGTGGAAAGCTGATTTCGATGATGGAAAATCGGTGATATTTTTTTTTCTTCTGAAACCTCATAATACACTAGGCTTTTGCGTGCACGACAATATGTTTAATTATTTTAAGTACAGCGTTTCAGGATTGCTAAATGCTAAATTGAATCTTAACCCATTTGCAATAGACCCAAACTCATATATTTACGTTATATTGTGACGCATATGTATATATCTTTTTTGGCTCGAAGTTTTCAGTTCTTTATTCCTTTACTAAAAGAAGACATTATGCACTGTTTCAACATTTATCAGTAAGAGAGAAGACAAAATGAAGTATTAAATTTGATTAATATCACATAATAATAAGATTATTATATTAATAACGAGATCGATAAGAACGTTAGAATTTCAGATTCTTGTTTGAAATTATATTCCTCTTACAGCTGTCAGTGCCTGTCCGACTACATCGATTTGAAATTATCAACGAAAACACCCTTGTTCGATGGTTTTACAACATCCTGAGCCGAATTCTACCTTCAAAAACAGTGAAAAAAGTAAGTTTTCGTCAACTTTGAATTTCTTTTTAAAACAACTGTTCTTATTATCAGTTGTTTAGACTGAAACAACTATTCTTATTATCAGTATTATTAAGCAAGTTATGAGAAATATTTCTTTCTCAATTTTTAATCTAAGCTCTTGTACTAACTTTGCTTCTTTTTTGACCAAATCCTTTAAGAATTTTCAATCAATCGTTTCATAGAAAAGCTAATTTGAAAATAGGCTATTTATTAAATATGGTAGAGTACAAGGGTGTTAACTGCCCCTAAAAAGGGACGAATGCTTTCGTTGAGAACTTTCAAATGGAAACTGGATTCTATTTAAATTACACGCATCGAGGAAAAACTCAAGCAGAAAGTTGGTTTGCCTCGAGGTTTGAACCGGGATGAATTACCAGTACTCGGTGGGTTTAACCACACAGCCTAGGCGGTCACTAGAGAGCACTAATCTATCATTAAATTTGCTACACCAGGAAGGAATGCAAACAACAGAATCTCATACATATACAATATAATGGGAGGAAGAAATAATAAAACTTGTAAGTGGTTTGGGGTACACAGCATGCAAAATTCATGACAGTAAATTATTTTAAGTCGCCCTTTTGGGACGTGAAAAACTCAAGTTGAATTTTGTCAATCGGTTTAGCAGACCGGGGTATATATAACCTTCACATTTTTTAATAGTTTTCATTTTTTAATTTATTTATTGAGTTTTTTGAGTAAACTATCTTTTTATCGAAGTTACTCAATTTTACTCAATTCTCATGAAACGCAAGACTAGATGGCAAAAACAAATATAACAAAGTATGAAAAAAACAATAAAATCATTTAAAATAATTGGAAGATATGTGAATTCGGCAAAGTTCACCATAACTATTTGTTTAAGCGAATTAATTAATGCTTAGTGTAGGGCATTTTAAGCGAAACTGGCTCGTGTTCAAGTTACACATAGAGGAAACGAGGAAAAACAACCAGCAGCAATTAGAACGCAATTAATAGAATCTAAAAATCGTTTTCTTTTATTTTCTTCCCCGTTTTACTTCCTTGTTCGAAGTAAAGGAAGCACTGTAAACGCGAAAAATTTCGTGTTATCATATTTCAAAGGAAATATTCATTTTTACCGTTCCCGAATCCATTTGAACGATTTTTTTTCGTGATATCTGTACGTACAAACAAAAAAAGGACTCTTTTTTTCCAAAACGAATTGTAAAATGGATTCAAAAGGGATTTTTTCGTGACGACGGTGCATACGTACGTACGTACGTGTGTATGTATCTCGCATAACTCGCATAAAGCAATTAGTCCTAGAATGTTGAAATTTCGTATATGGGATTGCTAAAACATGTAGTTGTGCCATTCCCTATTATATTGCAATCAGTAGTACCAAACGTATATATATATATATATATACACTCACTTAGTCGGTTTTAAAGTACTTACGTGGCTTTTATTTTCGAAATCGTTGGTCGTAGTTACAGATATCACGGAAATATTGATATTTGAAATTTTTTAAAAACTAATTTTCGCAAATAATGAAAGGTAACAATTAATATAAATGGTCTCCTGGTCCTCATTTAATGGTTCTACACTTATATTTAGGAAAGTTTTATACTCGTTATGATACAATAAAGTTATAAGAAAGTTGACTCCCGTACGAGAAAAATTGACCGGGATATTTAGTTTAATTCAAATTTGCAATTGTTGATTTTGCAAATTTGCAATTTTCAACTTCCCTGTAGGAATCGGTTAATTAAGTTAGAATAACTGAACGAAATACGTTTAAATGGAGTGCGGCAAAAAATTGGTATTACTTAACAGGCCGTACGAGGAAGTCATGTGGTACCCACACTAGAGTTTTCTGAATTGTATATATGTAGGTAAAAAAAATGGTTATATGGAGAATGTAGAAAGTGATAAAAAGCGCAATTGCAGTCATTACGGATTCAAACCCTCTTCATTCTTGATAAAATCATTTTAATGTAAAAATACAAGTTAAATTAGAGTAAAATGCATCCCTTTTTTTCAATGGTAAATTCGTACTTTATAGAGTTTTCTTATACATTTGAAGTAAAAACAAAGGAAAAGCAAATTTGGCAGGACAGAACAGCTAAAAATGCCCAAATTACAATATAGACAGATATTGGTGAAGTTATAGTCCAACTTTATTTCTGCTGGTTAATTAAGTGTCTGCCGAAAAAATCGTGACAAAAATATTGCGAAGGAAAACAATGCAAGAACAAAACATCGTGGAAGAAAAGGAAAGAATGTTGTTCTAAAGCACCGTGGTAGAATATAAGCCGTATAGCAAAACCTTTGCAGTTTTAAAACACCGTCGTACAAATTAATCTTTTAAATAAAGCATCTACATATTTACGAACACATTGCAGACACGCGTTTTTTAACTATAAAAACTGTAAGCGAATGTCGCGTAATGATTTATGAATACAAGAAGAAATAAATATTGTTTCCTCTTTATTTCAGACTTTTGTTTTAGCTAATAAATTTTTACTGGAAAAGCCAGAAGAAAACTTTCATTTCAAGCAGTCAAAATCTGGAAATTACTAAAATTTACTGCGACGTAGAGCAGTTAATAGAAATTTTAACAGAAGAATAGAAGAATACAGTTAATAGAATCTAATTATCCTATTTTATGAAACCGTATTAAAAAGTTTATAAAATATAGTATAAAAAATATTAAAAAGAGTAAGATACATAAATCATTTTAAGCTGAAATTCAGTTACAATTGTTTCAGCCAGTAAAAGCATATTTGGAATGTTATCATTATGTTACGATTTGTGATATCTTTTTTTATCACAAATCGTAACATAATGATAAATAGCACTTAGAATTCAAATCTAAAACATAATACAAATTAGAACAAAAATTAAAGAACAAAATTTAATTATTCACTATTCTCTCTCAAGAAGGATCCAAGATTTCAGCCTTGTTTCTGTTTTACAAAATTTGCGTTTCTAAAGCGATATTACAGAATTAAAACGTGGATTCAAAAGATTCATAATCCACATTTCTAATGATTCAACGGATCCAAATTTCTGAATTCTGTCTGAATGAATATCAGTAAGTGAAGTGAAAAAAAAATTTTCGAATTAAGTAACGAATCTTCTTGAAATTTATCTTTTTTTAATTATAAACAAATTTTGAAAGACCTTTATTTTTATATGATTATAAAATAATATATTTTTATATGATTATATTATTTTTATATGATTATAAATTATTTTTATATGATTATAAATTATTTTTATATGATAATAAAAAGTAAAATGCTTGATAAAAATACATTTTTCTTTCATAGTTCTTGTATTTTTCAGATCCATATGCACGGAGAGTTGAAAGGTGAAACTATGGCATCCTTACTCAAAATTTACAACGTGTCCTTGCTACCCCAAGAATTTGGGGGCACCCTGGGGCCCATAAACAATGATTTCTACAAACAACCTTTTCTGAAATTCATGGAAAACATGAGATCTGATAATGCCCGCTTCTTAAAAGGACGCAAAACTTCCTTCGACCTTTCCAGTCTCAAAGAAGATTTAACATCAGATGTACCGGGACATATATATGAAGGTTCCTCGATAGATTAAGTTTAACCTAATTTAAGCCTAACAACCCAACACATAACCGAATTAAATATGATTGCCAACTTTTAAGAAGAAGCATGTTTAACAAATGGTTGAAAAAAGGATTTAAGATACAAAGTAAAAAATGTGCTGGATTTTGGGAAGACTTCCAGTACAGCAATCGCAAAAATTTAGAAGAATGTTCCCTTTGATTTTGATCAGAACATATATACTATGCATACGTACCAAATTTGTATCAGGACATACATATCAAACACACGTGTCATACATATCAAACACACGTGTCATATATGTTTCAAATTTTGAATACCAGATGAAATTATGTGTATAAATGTAACCCCATCCTGATTACATTCTATTCCTTTTCTTTTTCTGCTTTTATTATTCCAATTGTAAATTTTTGACAAAATAATCGTGAAAAACTTCTTTTTATATCTGTAATCAATAAAAGAACATTTTCCAGAATTCGAAGATATTTAATGAAACTTCTACTCCTCTCTTACGACTTCAGAGGAAAATCTCCATATTACTCACAAAGTCGTAAAACCGTGTAATTTTAACTCAAAGTCTTCAAAGTCTGATCTCCGTATAGCGTAAATTCGACAAAAGCCCTGAGAAGGCTTAAATATATGTACGTATATATTATTTGAGTTTAAACAGAAAGCACAACTTATACACACAATCACCTGTGCCTTTTACGGGTAGAAAAATATACACACAATCACCTGTGCCTTTTACGGGTAGAAAAATAAGATATATTTGAAATTTTTAATTACAAATTTAAAACTATCGTAATCAGAGACTACACAAATTTGGACTAACTAATCTCTCTCAACTTGAATGGCGCTATTTAACGTTGGCTAGCAATTGGCTAATGCCGTAATATTAATAGGCAGATTGAGGGAAGAAATTAAAGTTGAAATCGTTGTTGCCAAAAGCTCTGTATCTACAAATCCTCGCCTTAAGCACGTTTTAACCTTATTTGCATCTTGGTGTGGGCTAACGGAAAAAAAAAGTCATATTACAGATCCAAATCCATAAAAATTGGTTAATTACATAAAATACCTTATATATTTAAATATTATTTACTATTATGTTATACACTTCACAAATGTATTCCAATTTCAACTTGAAATAAATTATTTTATGCAGCAAAGGTGGATAAAGATGATTTATTTTGGAATGTTAAAGAAAATTTGCACGAAGTTTAGACTTAGAACATTTTGCAAAGTAAATGGTAAAAATTATGCATATGTATAATACGTACAAAGAATTGACGCTACATTAAAAAGTGCAAAATGCTTTCCGCTGTGCTTTGATAATTTCGTCCTTTAAAAGCTTTTTCTGAAAGCAGTTTGTATTTCTTAGAATATGCAACCTGCTTTTAAAATACCATTCTATTGCCAGAAAAGTGTCAAAATCTGTGATCATACAAATATTTCCTTTGTTTTTCTAAACTAAAATCATAATCGCTGTGGCTAAATAAAACTAAACTATTTAGTTTTATAAGACACAAAAAAAATCAAGTGTTTCTTTAAGCATTAAACATGACAATTGAGTGAAACTTAAAAAAGTAAAAAGAATATACTAGAAAGAAGATTACAATCCAAGTGCTCTTAAAAATATTACTATCATCACATTTTAGTTTTGATGAGGAAACTGTTTGCAGTTAGAATGAGGAGGAATTTGTATAGCCGATATATGATATATATTTGCATGAATATATCAGCTTATAATTAAGACACAATCACACGCCGAATAAATACTAATTCAGAAGTCAAACAACAAAAAATCAGCGTTAATTTACAAAATTTTCACAGGACTAGTTTCGATGGTTTTACCGAACCATCATCTTCAGCTGCAAAACCGCAAATGAACAAGATAGGAAATAATGTTTAGATAAGATAAGAAAGCCTGGACAAGAATAAGCAAGTGGCGCCATCTGTTGGCGAAACCAGAACTAAAACATAATTTCTCTAAAAGCCGAAGGCAAATTTGGATTGGAATTAGGATCGTTAACTAGAACAGAAAGATTTTTATGAATGTGAAATGCCTCTAGAAAATCCAGTTCTCCAATAGAAGATGTTTTTTGAATAATTTTGGCAGCAGAAAAATTGAAAGTGTGATTTTCGGACCAACAATGTTGAGCAACAGAAGACTTCTGTGTTTCCTTTTTTCTAACATATGCCTCATGTGCTTTGACGCGAAATTTTAAGGCTCTCTTAGTTTGGCCAATGTAAATTAAACCGCACTGGCAAGGAATCCTATAAATACCCCAGGAATTCATATCCGGAATGGGGTCCTTGAGTATAGAAGTTGGAATTTTATTGATGGGAGAGTAAACAACCCGAAAGTTAAATTTCTGCAAAATATGTGCAACTTTATAGCTAATTGATGGAAAGAAGGGAATGACAACAGAAATTTTATAATCTCCTAAAATTTAGGTACTGCCTAAATTTAGGTATTCAAATTTAGGTACTGCCTCGTATCCATTAGCTAAATATTTAGTTTCTAGATTTTCCACTCTATTAGACAATAACATTTACACCATAAAAAATTCAATAGAGTTTGTAAAAAAGGTTAAAAACATTTCTCCTCGTAATTTACTCATGGTTTCTTTTGATGTAAAATCATTATTCACCAATGTCCCAGTGGAGGGTGCATTAAGATGTCTAGAAACCAGACTTCGCGAATTTCATTTCTCTTGCATCGAAATTGATGAGCTAATTTCTCTCACTCAACTCTGTTTGAAACAAACACATTTTGTTTTCCAAAATAAATATTACAAGCAAACTGAGGGATTAGCCATGGGAAGCCCCCTCAGTTCCATCCTGGCTGATATCTACATGCATTATTATGAATCAAAATTGTTTGAAACTTTAAACTTCCCGGCATGGTTCCGCTACGTAGACGATACTTTTACCCTGTTTGAAGGTAATAAAGGTGATTTAAATAGAGTTCTTTCAACAATGAATTCTATTGATCCTGCTATTCAGTTCACTTTTGAACTTGAGACTTGCAATTCTCTTCCGTTTCTCGACATTCTGGTCACACGTAACACATCCAACTTCAGTACTACAGTTTACCGTAAACCTTCATCGGTTTGCCTTCCACCACACTTTAAATCATGTCATCCGACTAAACAAAAGTTAGCTTCATTTTATTCCTATGTTTTCCGTGCTCTTCAAGTTTGCTCCTCCAAACTATCCCTTGATGAAGAACTAAATTATTTAAAAGCAATAGCTATTGACAGGGGCTTTTCACCCAACATTATTAATCAAGCAGTTAAAAAATTCTCATCTGAACACACTAAAAGCCACACTCTTATTTTAGGAGATTATAAAAATTCTGTTGTCATTCCCTTCTTTCCATCAATTAGCTATAAAGTTGCACATATTTTTCAGAAATGAAACTTTCGGGTTGTTTAATCTCCCATCAATAAAATTCCAACTTCTATACTCAAGGACCCCATTCCGGATATGAATTCCTGTGGTATTTATAGGATTCCTTGCCAGTGCGGTTTAATTTACATTGGCCAAACTAAGAGAGCCTTAAAATTTCGCGTCAAAGAACATGAGGCATATGTTAGAAAAAAAGGAAACACAGAAGTCTTCTGTTGCTCAACATTGTTGGTCCGAAAATCACACTTTCAATTTTTCTGCTGCCAAAATTATTCAAAAAACATCTTCCATTGGAGAACTGGATTTTCTAGAGGCATTTCACATTCATAAAAATCTTTCTGTTCTAGTTAACGATCCTAATTCCAATCCAAATTTGCCTTCGGCTTTTAGAGAAATTATGTTTTAGTTCTGGTTTCGCCAACAGATGGCGCCACTTGCTTATTCTTGTCCAGGCTTTCTTATCTTATCTAATCATTATTTCCTATCTTGTTCATTTGCGGTTTTGCAGCTGAAGATGATGGTTCGGTAAAACCATCGAAACTAGTCCTGTGAAAATTTTGTAAATTAACGCTGATTTTTGTTGTTTGACTTCTGAATTAGTATATCAGCTTATGCTGCTTTCAAACGGCTTGCTTGCTTTGTTACGGCTTGCTTATGTATATATATCGAGAGAGATATATAATAAAACTGTGTTATTATTAAAATAAGATGACTTGGTGAGAGTTGCAATGGATTGGTGTTTGGGAAGACTGCATAGTTAGCAAGATGACACTCGAAGAACACACATAACGGTAAATTCCACACATAATTTTATTTCTGAATAAACATTATGACTGTGGGTGCACTATGCCTCCTCCAATTTTATACAGATTACATCTTCTTAAAGAACGAGATTAGAAAAGCAAACTCTGCATTGATAGCGGCAAGGCGACACAAGATGTTTGGAAGCAGAAGGGAAGAAAGAAGAGGAGTGTTGCGACGCAATTAAGCTTTTATGTCGCATTTCATTTCAGGTCACATGGCAGTTTAATGTACATGTGTTGAGTTCAGACTTCATCGATAAGTATCCAATACAGATTAGATGACGAATCTTCTTCGTTTAGTTAGAAGGTCTATTGCTCTGTTATATATGTATATAAATATGGACCGAGAGGAAAGGTATGATGACTCAAATAACTCAACTGAGCTCGAAGTATCACAATTTTTATTTTTAAGCATATCAAATCATCCTTTTTGCAGAGAAGATATTTTTTAATTATAGTTGATTATAATAATTTCCATGTACACGAGTTTTAAAGTACAACGTCATTTTAGATGAGTAAGCATAGTAGCAAAGCGTCTGGCCAGGAAGAAAGCTTAGGTGAAAGGGTAGCAACAATTCAAAGGAAAAAGGGGATGGAGTCAAATGTTTCAGTTCTGAGTTAAAAAGTTCTGGTTTACAATTATTTTGATTGGACAGACAAGATTCATCTGCATTAAGCGTTACGTAACATGGAAAGATCTTGACGTTGGGAGAACAGTTGAATTTAGGGGGAGAGCACAAAATCTAGAATCGTTAATTTTGAGGTCGCTAATTATTCTTAAACCAGCCATCGTATTTTGTTATGTCTTATATATACATATGTATGTGTGTAATAAGATGACTTGGAGAAAAGCTGCAACAGATCAGCGATGGTTCTCCGCGTTATAACTTGAACAGACTTTTAATTAGAAAAGATGACACTCGAAGGAGAGACCTTTAGATAGACGTGGCCGAATTGAACATAATTTTTATTGCTGGACACGTATTAATCAACGAAACATATTTTTCATCACACATCGTCATGGGCTCAGTATGCACCTCTCATTTTTATATAGATTATCACATTTTAGAACTATAGACAATAGCTATCAGAGACGAAGCGCCACGTCAGCGATCGACGTAGCATCTTGACTGCAAGTGAGCTA